GTTTTATTGGCCAGTAAGCCGAAATGGAGACGCTCAAAGCAGACATTGGAGGTAAACGTAAACTTCTTGTATTTACATTGGGTAAAACACAAGACATACTAGAGTCGGGGAATGTGCTCGCAATCAACCTTCATCGTGAGGCGCTGAGTACCATAGTGAACCAAATCGATATCCTGAAGCTTCAAGTTGTCGAAGAAAGGTGGGCGATTCCGAAGAGGATATCACAAAGTGGAGTACAGAAATTGAAGACCAGGTCGCTCAAGTTGACATCAAAGCAACGCATAAAAATGAACACTTGGCTAGCCTTAAATCAGAAGAAGATTTCAAGAAACCGAGAAGGAGCTTAAAGCGAAAGAGCGCGAAGGTCAGCTTAAATTTGAACGCGCTGAGCTTGAGCAAAAACTAGAATATCAGCGGAAAATAGAAGAATCCAAGAAGGATCACGCAACGAAGTCAAGCGAAGCTAAAGCCAGCCCCACCAGCGAGGGAGCGCGCACTAAGCTACCCAAGCAAACTATTACAAAATTCAATGGTTCCCATACGGATTGGCTCCGTTTTTGGAACATTTACGAAGCTGAAATCGATAAATGTAGCGACATGGAGGTGGTAATTAGATTCGCTTATCTTAAAGATCTTTTAGAACCCAGAGTCAGAGCGGGAATAAATGGTCTCCTGTTCTCGAGCGAGGGGTACGAACGGGCGAAGAACATACTGAGGAACAAGTATGGGAAACCGTCTGAAATAGTGAATGCATAGGTCCAAAGTATAATGGGATTACCAGTAATCAGTGGGGCGAACCCAACTAAGATCCATCAATTCTATGAAGCGCTCTCGTTCAATGTTCACGCTCTCGAGACGCTGGGCAAACTTAAAGAAGTAAATGGCTATGTTAGGATGTCAATCGACAAATTACCCGGGATCAGAGGAGACTTGGTCAGAACAGACGAAAACTGGAAAGAATGGGACTTTCCGAAATTCGTTTACGCCCTCCAGGGATGGACGGAAAGAAATCTTGTAACCACCGGATCAAGTGACAAGTCCTGGCATGACTCGAATGCCTTTAACACTCAATTAGGCGAAGCGCGTCCTCGTGGATGTGTTTACTGCGACAGCACTGATCACAAGCCGCACGAATGCGCTTAAGTTGCCGATCCAAGCAAAAGAAGGAAGATTTCCTTGAGAAAACGCTCCTGCTTTAACTGTGCCGGAGATGACCACAGGGCGACGGAATGCAAGAGCAGAAAAACGTGTTTGTTTTGCAAAAGAAGACACCACACCTCCATCTGTGACAGAGGAAACGTAGACAACTCGATGACAGCTACGCAAATTGGCGGTGGTCCTGTGGTATACCCGGTGGTTGTCGTGGAAGTTGCAGGAATGAAATGTCGTGCCCTTCTAGATTCTGGCGCAGGAAGTTCGTACGCTTCTGTAGCACTGCTTGAGAGAATTGGTGCAAAACCTCATCATTCTGGGTTGCGCAAGATTGAGATGATGCTGGGCGCGAGCAGTCGGGTGATGGAAGTTTATCGGGTCAAACTTAACTCAGTGAAGGGAAACTTTGAGATGGAAGTAGAAGTCACTAAAGTAGAGAAACCGCACCTCATAATGATAGACAACCCTCGCTACAAGAAGCTCGTAGAGAAACACCCTCATCTAAAGGGCATGATCATGGATGACAACGACGAGAGACCCCGCCTACCTGTGCACATCATCCTAGGACACAGAGAATGCCCCAGAATCAGCATCACCGAACCTCAGCGTGTGGAAAGAGAATGGGACCCTGTAGCAAGTTACACAAAGTTGGGCTGGACTATCACTTCGCCTGGTAAAGAAATCGACACCACCAGTATGCTCCTCACACAAACGTCGAGAGTTGACTATGAAGAACTTTGTAAGCTAGATGTTCTCAGGTTGGCAGAATCGCCTTCAGGGGATCAGGGTGTGGTCTACGATGAGTTTAAGGAACAATTACGGAGGTGCGAAGAAGGGTGGTACGAAACCAGTCTCCCGTGGAAGGGAAATCATTCTCCCTTGCCAAACAACAAGGAAGGAAGCCTACGCAGACTCGCTAGCCTTGTACGGAAACTTGAGAGGAATGGGTCCATCGATGATTACCACGCTATGATCCAGGAGCAGTTGGCCGAGGGAATAGTTGAGCGCGCCCCAAACTCTGTCGAAGGACGGGAATTCTATATTCCGCACAAAGGAGTCCTGCGTGAAACCGCTGAAATTACTGAGCTGAGAATAGTATGTGACGCCTCCGCAAGGGCCTGGGACGGTGCGCCATCTCTTAACGAATGTCTTAACACTCGTCCGCCGCTACAAAACCAACTATGGAGTG